TATATACTTAAGTTATGGCTCGTTTCTCCTCCTTGTTTGACCCAATATTAATCAGATCTAACAGACAATAATGCCAAGGAAAGTATAAGGGAAGTTATTAGACCAAATTGTAATTTAAATGTGAAGAAAGAAAGCGGGTGAAAAGATAACCTGCCGTGAGCAGGAATATATCGTAAATTTTTCAGTCTTGAGGTTTCTGATTCTAGCAATATATATATATATATATATATATATATAGATATATATAGATGATCAGAGTTTCTTCCGGCTACCGTAATAAAAGTTATAAACTTCGAGAATAGTGCAGTATAGGAAACAAAACAATAAAATATTTATTTAATCCTAACAACTTCGGCTGGTGGACCAGCCTTCTTCGGAGGATGTAAGTGAAATGATACAAGTTCCCGTAGCAGAGGGTCACCCTCACAGTTTAAAGACCCTCCAAAAAAAAAAGAGAGAGAAAAAGAGAGAAAAAAAGACAAGCGGGCGAACGAGGTAGCAACAGACAACAAGAAGCAGAAGAAGGAGAGGAACTAGAAAGGAGCGACGGAGAGCCGCCGGAAAACGAGCGGGTAATTCTGGCATTATATGTGTGTGTGTGTGTGTGTGTGTGTGTGTGTGTGCGTGTGTGTGTGTGTGTGTGTGTGTGTGTGTGTGTTGTGTGTGTGTGTGTGTGTGTGTGTGTGTGTGTGTGTGTGTGTGTGTGTGTGTGTTTACTGTGTACATATAAGACAGAATGCACCACCACCTGCCTACAGCTTTGACACTTAATAAAAGAACTACACTTATATTTCAAAACGTCATGAATTTGCTGGGCTTACAGTGGCCACACGCCAATAGAATATTTGGAAAGCAGCACAATTTAAGCTGTGAATACAAAATGAGAAGTGGTTACAGTGAATTTACGCAGATTAACAGGCGGTCTATATATACAATTGGTACTCTTTATTATGATTAAGATAACCCCGTTCGCGTAGAATTTATGACTCTTAGGTACACGCTTTCCTTCAGATTCGCCTCCCGGTATTGTAAGCACTTGAATCTTACATAAAAGAAGCCGAGTAACGCGAAAGCACGCGGTTTAAACAATACGAGCTTTTCAGAAAACATTATTTATTTTCTTCCGCAACACTGACATGACAAAACTGAGTAGTAGCCGATATACATGTTGTGACAACATTAGTTATACTGGGGTTTCTCGTGAAACAATCTAGCGCATGTGGGCTCATATGAGAAACAGTGCTCTGGATATCGTAGACATTGCCGACATAGCGAGCGTATGATTTATTCGCAATATTGATACTTCTCCTCTCTTTGTAGTTCGCCAGTAGCCACTAATGATGTCGCGTAGCTCAAAGGGCTGCTTGAGTAAGAAGCTAGGTGAATTCGCTCAAACTACGACTTAACGTGTTTTTTTTTTTTTTTTTTTTTGGTCGGTAGGTTTTTGAAACAGTGAATGTCTTGACGCAATTTCGGCATGCCTGCGTATTTATTCGTTCACCATGGCGCGTAGCAGGTGTGCATACACTTGTGAAGGCTCAGGAACGCATTAAACGTGCTAAAAACGAGCAATTACACGCTTTTGCGCAGGCGCTGCCAATGCAGACGCTCCTGAGATCTTCAGTACCATGGAACTACAGCGCCGCCGCTACTGTCAACCGCCGGAGAATCAGCCGAGATACGGCGCGGCCGCCTCGTTCACTCCACTGCCCCCTTCTAGTACACTGTAGTTTCAGGAAACTCTATGCCCTACGCGATGAACTCGTAGGAAGGAAAAACAATTTTTCCTTCCTCCATGCCCTACGCCAGGTGATCCCACCATGCCATCTCTCGCTCCCGGCGAAGCTAAACTACAACGCACAAGCACCATGAGGCAAAAACGGACTTTACAGTGGTTCATAAAACTCCTTCAATACATACATACATACATACATACATACCTACATACATACATATACATACATACATACATACATACATACATACATACATACATACATACATACATACATCATTACATACATACATACATACATAACATACTACATACATACATACATACATACATACATACATACATACATACATACATATACATACATACTACCAGCAGGCTGATGAGTGATTGGGCCCCTTCGAAAATGTCGCCCCACCCCCTTAGATGAAAAGCGAAAAAACAATGCTTCATTTACAAGGCAATTCTCATGAGCACAATGCCAGCGAAAACACTTACTAGCATATATATTTAAACTATCACCTGCCGGGAAAGAAAGAAAAAGAAAGAAGCAAAGGGGTTACCCAAAAGAAATTTCCTGGTTTGCTACCCTTCACTGGTGAAAGAGAAACGAGATGGAAAGTTAAAGCGGGAAAAAAATAAGAATGGTTAACTAAGCAGACGCCTCTCACTGCCATTTTTAACTATGTATACTAACACACGTTTTGGTTCGTACTTTTTTAGCGATGTGACGTAGGAGTCACGGGACAACATACTTGAACGCATATATTTTTAATAAAGTGAGCAGGTAATGTACACGCGCATCACTACGAGTGTTTCTCTGCGTTTCACTTGTTTCTGGACACTCCGGCGTGGTCAATTATTACACAAGTCGAACAGACCCGCATCAACACTGAAGTATCTTCAGCTTCAGCGGTATTTCCGCTTCAACAGAGATTCGCCTCTGGTATTTTAATTGTCCATGATGCATAGACGAGCGCTCCTTTCTGAAGTCAAATTGCTTTCTTGTTTGATTCAGTGAAGTGTTTCTCTTAACTTATAAAGAATTACCTTCGCGAATAGTTTGTATGACATTGCATGTAAACTAATAGCGGGGTTTGGAGGGCATAGCACGGTTGGTGTGTAAGAGGGGGGGGGGGTTACAACACCCCCCGAAATTTTCTGAACGCCACATATACAGACACTGCCCTCCTTTTTCCCCTTTTTTTCCCGTCCCCGCTATGTCGTGAAAATGTGAAAACGAAAATGAGTTCCGAATGGTTCTTGTTCTAAAGATGATGGCATCACTATTTTCAATCACTTCCGACTGATATGTCAAGATTGCTTAGACCGTCTGTCAAACCCGTTCTAAGAACGTGCTTCAGATTAAAACGAAAACTTTCATCGATCTTCGCCAAGGTATTTGAGGCCTGCCCGGCAGATGTGATTTATCTTTTGAGAAATTTTACTTTTCCGTACATTGACTGGGTACAGATAACATCTCTCTGCCGAATGTCTTCGGATTTTATCAATTTGACTCTGGACCAGAGTTGTTGCCATATACGAGCACGGTAAACAACTCATAACTAATTGATTGATTTGATTGATATATGGAGTTAAAGGTCCGACAACTACCATATGATTATGAGAGACACCGTATAGTGGAGGGCTCCGGAAATTTCGTCCACCTGGAGAAATCTGAAATCTGAGCACACGGACCTACATCATTTTCACCTCCATCGAAAATGCAGCCGCCGCAGCTGAGATTCGATCTCGCGATATATATATATATAATATATATATATATATATATATATATATTATATATATATATATATATATATATATATATATATATATATATATTATATATATATATATATATGAGATATAACAGGCGATTAGTATTGTGTTGAAACACGGAAAAACGAGCCCTTAGGTATACACTTCTTTCCCTTATTATATATATATAATCTATATATAATATCTATATATATATATACTATATATATATATATTATATATATATATATTATATATACTATATATATATAATATCAACACCTTTTGTTGATGTTGATCGCCGCTAAATGTGCAGTCATCTACACTGGTCGGGAAATCCTACAGAACTAAACCGCGCAAATTACTAATGCTATCAGTTGCCGCTATTTTATGACGCAAGGAAAACCACAAGCAACCATCGATATGACCGTTAGCACGCCTTGGCTGTGTGCAGTCTTCTTGCGACCTCAGAGACTGACCAACATCTAAACAATCGGTTGATCATCGCTAAGTCGAGCAATTACTGTTGTTTTAGAGACTAAGCGGCAGATTAGTAGAAACTACAAACTTCGCCGCACCACACCGCACCGTGGTAAGCACACTGTAACTAAAACAACCTAGCTTTGCGGTTGTTGTGGCGCCATCTAGCGAACAAAAAGGTACACACTGGTACTCTTTATGCATGGCCTTCGAAAGTGAGCAGCTAGTGCTGCGTCAAATTTCGGAGGCTACGTATTGCGGCTGGTAACAAAGGACAGCCTCCGTTTATGCTTAAGTATATGAGAATCAAAGCATTGTTAAGACATGAAATCAGAGTTTGTCATTAGTAACTGCAGTAGCATCTGTAGCTCCTGCGTAACTTCACATTTTGCATCACCACGAGACACAGCGTGCCGAAGCAAACATTCAAGCGCTTCCAGGATGCGCTTTATTTCTGACGGTTTCAACAGTCAAAAAGTTGCTTCAAAACATCAGTATTGTGTATTCGAGACAGCGCATCATGTGTCTGTTGTCTATTACACAAAAATGTCTGCCACCTTGCGGCTGTTTGAGCGGAGGATAGCGCCGAAATCGCGGGCTCGGGTAGCTTGGAAGGGGGGGTAGCAGACAGCCAGGCCGCCAGACTATCAAGCTATCCTGACCGCAACGCCTGGAGCCCGTATCCGGAAGCAGCGACCAAGCCGAACGCCAAACCAGCACCCGACACTTCGGCTACGCCGAATTTGCCCACAGCAAGTCATGTGACCAGATAGCAGAAAAATACAAATGACAAAAACGCCATGGTAGGAAAGAGAGAGACTGGGCGAGAAAGAAAGCGACGCATGCGCGAAGGCAGTTTCAGGCAGACGGCTGCATAACCTCAATCCTCCTGTTTGTTACCGCGCAGCGGAGCGGTTTTTGTTTATATTCGAGTTTCCGATCGCCCTACATAACCTCATTACATGAAAGCCAAAATTTGGAATACTGTGCCACGATATAGAGAAGAAGACGACATCAGGAAGGAACTGCGCGTCGCTCGCGTGGATTGGAGGTGAGGGTTTCTGGGATCTTGACCCACAATGGCGTCCAGCCTCGTAGCAATAACTATATTGATATTGGTTCTATTTGCTCGAATGAGAAGCCCAGCTCTGCTACGTTTCACTCGGCAACAAACACTTCCGAACTCGCGAGTGTTTGTTGCAATTGCTGTATATGCTGCCCTGCTTCGCTTGCCACGGAAGTCCGTACGGGTCGCATACGAGAAGTGGTAAGGTTTGCGTCTGCTCGAGTTGACCTGTGTTGTTTTGTGTATGTGTTGGCGATTCTATCGTTCGGCCTAAGAATTTGGGGGAAGAATTGGTCTAGCGACTTTATAGTGAGTGAACACTTTTACCTAGTGATGCATGGCTCTACCTGTTCGCTTTAAAATAGGAATCATGGTTGTGACGGTCTGTGCTCCTTTTTTTTTTTTTTTTTCCTGCTCGGTTGTTTGTGCATTTGGCCATCCGCGTTGTTCTACTTTTTTTTCTCCGAGTGTTTTTTAGTACGTTCCGCTATTTATGGTGGCTCTCCGAGCTCCTTTTGGTTTAGTTGCCGCAGAATTATCACACGCGTGAACCATGAGCTGAGAAAATAGGGGAAACAAGCAGTGTTCGATATTCCCCTTTTATTCGATCTCCCGTCGCGCTTTTTTTTTTTAAATCTCGCCGTGTTATCTGCGATAAGCAGATGCGTCTGATGCCAAGTTTGTCGCCCGAAATGCTTTTCTTTTAGCGTCTGCTCATCTGTAGCCGAGTTGAATGGTGACGCGTCGGGTTGCTCTGTTTTTTTTGCTTCGGTGTTGCCTTGGTGCATGTGCCGAGAGGAAATGCAGCGATCGAACGGCGCGTCTTATTACGGCTGGCGCCTCCGAGTTTCCCACGGATGTTCGGCCGTCTGGTTGTACATACAGTGCGCATCTTATTCGCCGCGCCGGCATCCTGAGCGGCACTGGCATGCTCACTAGAAAGGGGGATAAGTCACTCGTTCCTACGAGGGCGAAAGTAAGTTCGTCTGCTCAACAGGGAATTGCTTTGGTGATAAGGCGCTCCTCTTTTCCCTTCCCATTGTCCTGTGTCTCAGTTTTTACGCGCTACGTTATTAGTTCTTTTGGTGTTTCGTGTTACGTAGGTGGCAACAAGCGTACGCAATTAAGCGATGCGGGGTGAAGAAGCCCATCGCTCGCATGCTTGCTTTGGATGCTTTAGGGCAGCTGGAACACGCATTAGGGATGTTTAGAATAACGTTCGCAGGCGTAGCGCGTGCCATATCAGCTTTAGAATAGTGTTTGCCCCTCCTAGGGAAAAATCTAAATACTTTAGCGCCCCCCCCCCTCCCGCAAACCCAAATTCACGAGTATCGACACCAGCGCTTTGCGGGCCGCATGCAATTTCGGATTTCTGCGGGCGGACAGCGAGCGCGAACGGCGGCTCGCGTTACGACGCATGCGCAGTGGCAGCGACCGCACCGTAAGTGCATGCGGTACGCTATTCTATACACCTCTACTGTTTACAGTCCAGAAACGACAAGTTGAGGGAGTTTTTAACAAGCTTGGTAATAACTTGTGCGAGCAAGCTAACATTTGTTTATGGACATTTTTCAAATATTATTCTGGTAATAACTCGTACGAGCAAGCTAACATTCGTTTACAGACATTTTTCAAATATTTTCTTCTTAACGTAAGTGTTAAATTAACGTTTATGCCATCAGCTAGTTGTACCAGGAGGCACTCGTGCTCTGGGAAAAGAGCTTCATGCCTTTGAGGTCTAAGTAAGAGGAAAAGAAGTGACAAAATGGTGGACTTTCACACTACAATTTTTTTGCATTGTTGTTGAGCTGATGAGAATGTGAAGGATACCTTTGTCGGTTTTTTCACATGTCATGGCTGTCACTTTGGGCAAGCTGGATAGCAAAGCCTAATCGCATGTTTAGCTGTCATTTTCTTTAAGTGGTACTAATCTTGGTTTCGCTATTAGATGCCTTATAAACGAAAGTTCTCAAAGTCAGTGCTTCTGCTTGCTTCCTAGAATAATCTCAGATAGCCACATGATAAAAGATTGCTATTGGCTCTCTCTATGATTGCGATCTGCACTGTTGCTGATATTAAATGTTGTGCCCTCATGTTGATTATATAAACGCACTCAGGTGCAAAAGTTGGCAGGCTGATTGCCCAGTTTATACTAGTGCATTTTAGCACAGTCTTGGATTTAGTGCTCCAGTTAAGAATTTGTGGGAAATCAAACACACTTCGAGCAAAAATTAGCTTTCGTAAATATAATTTCTCGAGAGTTCTACAGCACTTTGAAAGCGGGCACGTGAAATGTTGCGTTCTTACATTTTTTTGCATGCATTCTTTTTTCTTTTATTTGCCTCTCTGAAGTAGAGTGCTGAATGCTTCCGGATAGTGTCATTGGCCGCATAAGGGAGAAGCCATGCTAGGGTGGCAGTTTGCACTGATTTCGTTGTTTGTCTTGGCCCATCATTGTAATCTTGTCTCTGGTGCCACATCATGTGCTTGGAGGAAGCCTCTTCTGATAAGGCTATCTGTGGGGTCCTGTTCTTTTATCCTTACCACTAAAGCAGTGGAGACTGAGTGGCGATGGCTGAGATGCCACTGCACATACTTGTGGTGCTGAGTGGCCACAGCTGGGATCTTGTCAGTTGACCTAAGGCTTTGGGGCATTCTGATTGTTGGAGTCCGGCACATTATTTAGTGCTTATTTCATTAGGGTAGAAAGCTTTCGACCACATGAACTAGCAGCATTCTCACGTGCAAGTGTTAGCTCATTACAGCTAGGCACTAGTGTTTAGTCTGTGAAGTATATTGAAACATTTTTTTTTGTCAGTGCGGTCATGCAGCAAGTTGCTATATGTAATGCCAATTGAATATTTTACTTCCTATGTGCATGCATGTCATTACACTTGCAAGTCAAAACTATTTGACAAACAGTGTTTGTTGTCAGTGTAATCAGCCCCCCTTTAGTTGGTTTGCACTTGAATCAGTAGGTGAAGTGCAAAAAAGAAAAGCGTCGTATTTTGAGGTAAATGCACTTCAATGGCCTAGTACAAATTTGCAGTGGCTTTATGAAGACATATTTTTTTCACTCATGATGGAACCTCCAACTTTTAAATATTATGAAAAATAGTTTTTAGCATGTTTTGTTTGCTTTTACGTTATTAATTGAACCGAAAGTTGTTTGCCTTTAGTTGCTGAAAAGGATACCGCCTGTGCTTTACGTGTGTTTTCACTTTGTTTTTCTTTTTCATTTCTTTTTTTTTTCATATATAATTTTCTTTAGCATGCTTTCTTGATTTTCTAGTCGAGCATTATGTTTTTTTAGGATCTGGCTGTTGAGGAGCCAGCAATGTGCAGCAAGTTAAGTACCTCACTTTTACAACTTGAGTAGTGCACCGTCAGCTGTGTAGATCCTCATCTCATGGATGAGCACAGACAGCTCTCCAATCTAAAGTGCTTTGGCAATGTTAGCACAGAGTGCCTCTTTCCCTCTTGTAGCCAGATAGGCGTCATCCTGTGGTATCTCACTCTTTGCCAAACTTTTGGTGAGCAAAGTACAAGTGAGACCCACTGGGCATGCATGGGGGCAACCGGCTTCTAGTACTGCCAGGAGTTCATTGTCACGGCAGTGTCTTTCTCATCTAGTGTTTAGTTTTCGGGTGGAGCAGATAAGCAGGCGCTAGTAAATACGCCTGAGGCAGGAACTCGCCACTTCTGTTGCCACGCGCTTGTTGGGTGATGCAGCGGCACATCGGAAGGTTGTGTACAGGTGCGAGGCCTCTTTGAGCAGCTAGACGGTCAGCTTGCTTATCTATGCTGCTCTAGTGCATATTTCTGAGGAATAATTAGGGGAGTGAACCATTTATCAGCCTTGCTGTGGGGCCTGGACGTCTCGTGGCGTTTTGCTTGGTAGAGCAGTATTACAATGCTGTTTCTGAATGATGTATGCACAGAAAATCTGATGAAGAATCTTTTTATGGAGATTAAAAACAAATTCTCGGCTACAAGCCTCTCCATCAGCATTGGCAGTGCTGTTCAAGAAGTCTTTAAAATAAAATACATGATGGTGTTTGTGCAGTATAGCTTCAATGTGGTTTTGGTTCAGTATGCTTTTGTTAAGAAGTGTCATCATTAACTAGGCCTTTATTTCAATGCTCTTCATTCAGTTCATACGATGTGTAGCTACTTTATTGGCTATTTGAGCCTCGCCACGGTGGTCTAATGACTAAGGTACTCTGTTGCTGACCAGCAGGTCGCGGGATCGAATCCCAGCTGCAGCGGCTGCATTTTCGATGGATGCGAAAATGCTGTAGGCCCCTGTGCCCAGATTTGAGTGCACATCAAAGAATCCTAGGTGGTCCGAATTTCCGGAGCCCTCCACTATGGCATCTCATAATCATGTGGTAGTTTTGGGACGTTGAACCCCACATACCTACCTTGAATTGCTATTCGGGTTTTAACGCTCATTCACATAGAATTTACTTTATGACTTCTGTTGAACATGATCGAGGCTGTTCCATTTCAGTTAATTAATCATCTGTTTTATGGAGACTGATCATTCATGTTGAGGCTTAAGTCGTAACACATTCAGCATGGCCTTATCCTATGACAGGCGTTCACCATGTTTGAGTGCAGTGTTGCTTGTTTGCCTTGTTAGGCACATTTATCTTGGCGTGTGTGGTGTTAACTGTCTTCTGTGCCGCTTGTTTGCTGAAATTGTTTTTTTTTTTGCTCCTCCTTTCCTCCTCATTTTTTCTCAGTGTTTTCAATCTCTCCAAATGTTGACATGGGCAAGATCACCAACCGCCCCCAGGCTGACACAAGTAACTTGCCATCTGGCTACATCACCAAGGGTGAGCCTTATGTTACTTTATTTGATATAGAACTTGCTTAGTCATCTTGCACAGCCTTTTCTATTTGAATACCATTACTGCACTGTAGTGCTGATGGGGAAGTAATGGGGAAGGGATGTTATGTGAACTATTCTTTTAAAGGGACACTAATGAGAAACCATTACTTGATTATATGACAAACTGCACTCTGAGAACTCTAATGCCATATGTTTCATTATTATAAGTTGATTATTAGCGGAGAAAATCAGGGTTGAAGTTTCATTTTTGTATTTTGCACCAAAATCTCAGCGAATCACATTACAATGTACTTCATTTTTATCCATTGGAAGCTATAGAGGACCCAGTAGACGCCTTCAAATTTCTTACATCGCGGTGTTTTGTTATGGAATTTCAATATGGCATCACCACCAGTATTTCTTTTCGCACATTTCTCATTTACAAAGTTGTGTCACGGTAAGAGTGGTGTTTTTGGAATTGTGAGTAGTGCTCTACTAATGCGCAAAAATTGTTTTGCTAATATTTAGTGTCCCTTCAAGCTTACTGGTCGACTTTTGAGGCAAACATAGAGTTGTAGAAGCAGCTAAGCAGTGAAACAGGAGTGGGTGCTTATAGAAAAAAATGTGATAACTGACATGCATTCCTGCATGTTATTTTTTTGGTTTGTTACAAAATACTACAGCAGGCTTTTGGTGATTATTATAAAAATGACGTAGTAACTATATCAAATACAAGGCTAATGTAAAATGCATGCATGCACTTGACATATAATATAGCACAAAGGCATATGGCAAATAAAGGAAATGTCAACTCATTATTATTAGAGCAGCAAATATGGACCGTACAAAAAGATATATGTTTTGGGATGTGGGTATATATTTGCTACCCAATATTTTCTTGGCAGTTAAAACACTGTAGCTTGCAGTGTTCTGCTTGTACAGTAGACTCTCGTTAAATGGAACCTGAAGGGACCAGGAAAATATGTTCCATTTAAAAGGAGTTGTAGATTCTATTTAAGCAGCAATTCTAATTAACAGATTTCTATTTACCATGAGTCTACTGTAATCTCTCCTTCTCATATTTTTACACTTCTGAAAATGTCATTTTACAGCTGAGTTATCAACTTGTAGCTTCAAAGTTTCAGTGGTTATTTTATTATATTGTTTCTTGCACGCACCATTATGCTGAGAATGGGTGTGAGGTGGCAAACAAAGGGATTGCTTGTGACTTCACTTGTTGGTTAGCGCTTGTGTTGTTGCCTGTGTTCATTCCATATGTCATGCTCTAATTTTGACTGTTTCAATCTTGTTCGAACTAGTTCAAACATCTGCCCTTTTTGTAACTGCTGTTATAGAGTACTGAGGATAGCACGGTGCAGTGAAAGAGGAATGTCTGAAGAAGGGGGAGGGGGGCTATAAGTATTACGGCTTTAGTTGTAGCATTCCAAATTTTGCTCTTGCTTGTCATTTGTTACAGCTGACCTGCATATCGCATCATCATTTAACAAACTTGGCTATCTCGTACAGAGACGTGTCATCCCTAGGTGTACAAGTCTGCTCTACCTACTTGTTTCATGCTCACATGACACTGTCACAGCAGCCAGTAGTGGCTGCGCGTTGACGTTACTGCAAAACTTTTCTGGCAGCATGTACATGATTACATTACGGGTCACTGTAATAAACGTATCAGGAAACAGGGCTCTAAAGTCACAAGCTTTGTGCTTCTGAGTTGTTTGTGCTATCAATTTTTTTTTAAGTTTTTTTTAAAGAAATATACTTTATTAGTGCTCAGGGAACGTTTCAGTTTCTGAAATGTCTTCTTTCTGAAATCTTCTCTGCGCACTAAGAAAATGTATTTCTTTCAAAAATGCAATACCAACCAGCGATGTAGCTACTCTTTTGCCTTTTTGAGTTGTTTTACATGCCAGCCATTATCTTGTTGAGCTTCAATGTGTCCTTGTGTGCCTGTGTATATGCAGGTGCTCCGGTGCCTTTAGGACAAGACACATCGGTTGTAAAGGGAGAACATTATGGCCGGCATTCTGGGCAGCCAGTGAATCACAATCCAGTGCCATATCGAGAATTGCCATATTCCGAACTGAGTGAACTTGCAAGTGCATTGTGCGAGCAGTCCACAGGATGGAGTCCAATCTCAGCACGCTTGATTGTACCTTGGACACTACCAACCAGCACGAAGATTCTGTGTCTTCTACTGTACGAGACATTGCCCAGGTTGTTATACCTGCTCAGAATCGTATGACAGTCTTTTTCTAAACATTAAAGATGGGATCAATAAAGGACCATGTTATTATTCTTTCTTCTTTCTTTTTTTAACCCTTAAATCAGTGGTCTGAAACTCTCATCAGCTACCGAGCCATAGTCACAAAATTTACTGCCTCAAAGCGGCCAGGACTGTAAAAAAGTTGGAAGCAGGGTAGGGGAGTTTGAAAATGCTTTCATAAAATAAAGGGCATTTCTATATCACATATATGTATCATTGCTGAAAGGAATTCGACTTAAGGATTCGAGAAACGTATCGATACCTATCTCCACAGTGATAAATATCTGGAGTAGTTTTCGTCCTATGCTTAGCTTCAACATGAGGTAACCATATCGGATGCCTCACAAAAATTTATGATAAGTCATGCCTGTGTAGTTTACCCAAACAAAGCATTATTAATCACGATATATAGGTGGGAAAATAATGTGCTCATCATTTAACAGTGTCACAATCCGCCATGAAGTCGTACGTAAAATGGGACAAAGCTGTAATGTGCGGGCAAGAAATTTACTGGTAAGCCTTGGAGCATTCTAAGTATGTTTAAAAAGCATAGCTTTTCTGCAGTACAAGAACTTGTTGCTGTGAGAGTTCGTAAACCATTTCAAAAAGTATTTGAGTGCAAACACAGCACATTCACACACACACGCACCTACACATCCAGGCACAAAGCATGTACAGCACTCCAAGTGTTTGATGGGCCGTGTTTGTGCTCATATAATCTGTGAAATAGTTTTTCCACAGTTTTTTAGGTATATTCATTGTGACAACTGACAGCAGCATAAAGGACAACCTAGTGAGCAGAACTTAGTATTACAAAGAGGGACTACTTTTTGCATGTATGACATCAAAACACATTAGAAACTGAAGTGAAACCGGTGCTAGAAAAATTATTATAATTATTTTGAGTAGTCTGAGATCTGCTAGTATTTTTTTCTCTAGGGTATGAAATTTTTGACGTCTCATTTGTCACAGCCTTCAAGAAATTTTTGTAAAAAAATTGTCTTTGTCGTGTAAAGTGTAGATGTTTTAATTGACCAAATTACTAAAGCCATGAATAACAATTAAAACTTCTCAAATTGTGGGTGTTGTGCCGACAGTGTGGGTGCTGTGCCAATGTGGGTGTTGTGCCAAAAAAAATGGGAAAAATCTAAAGTGGTACTCTGGATATGTATGTAATCTAGACACATATATAATCTGGACATTGACCTCTGCACTGAATCACTAATCTTATCTAAAGTGAGATTTTGGTTACTGTTATGACATCTAAAGTGAGATATCATAACAGTAACGAAAAATTTTTTGCTGCTAGCTCAATGCTATTTCAAACAGTTGGCACTGACATTGATAAACACAAAATGGGATGAAGCTCTGTCCCATCTTTGTGTTTGTCCCATCCTTTTCCAAGTAGCCTGGCCATATTAGTTGGCACACCTTGTGTTGTTCAAGTTCAAAGCTTTGAGAGCTACTTTAACATTTATTTTTATTTTTTTTAAGAAGACTTAGTTTTTAGGCAGAAGTTCTTGGTGTATAAAGGTAGACATCTATAATAAGTGTAGGCAGACTTGCCTGCAATGTCTGTCACTTCGTGGCACAGCTTGAGCACATGTCTTCGTTCATATCTGCCCGTTTTTATTGTTTTAATTGGTTAGCTCTCGTGGAGCTGTGCACTCACTGGTATAGTTTCCACATGCAGGCTACATCTCCTTTCAAGCTCTTGCTATTCTTCAGGCGAATGGGATTTTTTTTATCCTGTGCATTTTATTTTCATGCACAAAGTTGCCAGTTCATACGAGAAAAAAAAACGTTGCAGGTTCTATTGTTGTTCGTGCGAGGAGCGCTGGCATAGTCGGCCAGATGGTGACTGATCTGGCGTGTTTTCGAATTTCAGGATAGTGGCAGTCTCCTGCAGGAGCCCAACTCAATGCTGGTGCGCATGCTTCACATGACCGTAAAAGAGGAGCAATCATGGCTTGGTGCACTGGGGGGCAGCCCTTGCTCTGGCAGCCCCTCGTCCAGTCGGGCCAGTGCAAGCCCCCCACCAGACTCGCCATGCAGAGCCCTGGCAGGTGCCTCTCCTTTAGCTGTGTCAGAAGAAGCCACGCTCGGGATGCCCCGCAACCATCCGAGACACCCTTGGCATCGCGTTCAGACTCGGATTTCCAGAATCTACAGACCGCACTGCGAGCATTGATCAGTAAGTTTACTGATCCTGGGTGCAAGTAGGGATTTGTTGATAGAGCAGTTGACACTAATGCAAAGAAATATTGAGTCTAGCCTCGGAGCATATTTTATAGGCATTTTTTTAACAATGATATTTATGCTAACCAAAAAAAAGAAAAGGACTTCTGACAGCAACATTCTTGCTTTTGACTTTTTTACTGTTATTTGTAGCCTTGTGCTCTAAATCGACAAATTTGAATCGTAAATGCTCGTAACATATTACAGTAAAACTCGCTATTCAGACACTGTTATTTCTAAATCTCACTCAATTCAAAAGATTTATGTGATTGCGTATTTTACAATGTATACCGTAAAAACTGAAATATAGTCGAGCCGGAATATAGTTCAACCCCAAACATTGAATCTTTGAAAAAGAAATTTTTGGAAATCGCAAAGTATTGTGATGCACTCTTACTTTGAATATGCGACACAACCAGCTGCACTGTGGTGACATTTCTTTTTATTTGGACACTAATCTTATGTAGTTATGGGCCAGAAGGCTACAAAGTGTTCACACTTAGACTCGTCTGAACTTGAGTCTGACGATGTCTGTTTTTCACTAGTAACGCCCCAGAGCGTATCGTCTTCCATTTCATCCAATGGATTACTGATGCAGCATTTGTGGAAAGATGGAAGTACGCTGCCTCTGCGCAAAGCCCTTCCGCTTCGAAAATCGGCACTCTCACGATGGCGATCCCTTGAATTGCACCCTGAGAGCCGAGAGCCTATAGTCGTGCGCTATCTTGAGAGATTTCACACACAATGCACTCCGCTGTTATGGGTAGAACCTTGCACGCAGCTTCCGGACGAATTCGGCGAGTAGTGTTTCCAGTTCGGGGTATACTGCGTTCCGTCCACGAAAGGATATTTTTCTTTTTATTGCTTGCTGCAGGATGTGATGCGCTGCTTTTGGCTCCTCCGGCATCAACGTTTTTTCTCCGATGCACTGAATTCCCGTTGTGCCGCCATATTTTTGTGCACTTCAGCATACTTGATAATTTCTCTTAAAGCCTATTGTAAACTGGTGTCGACTGCCACTCATTTCTGAAGGAAAAAGAAAAAAGAAAACACAGACTGACAGCAGATAACTGAGGCAAATGGCGTTGCTAGAACACTGTAGGCCTTGCCTAGCTATGGTGGCTTGGAAAGGTGTGAGCATCGGCCTATGTTATTAGATTCTCAGTTGCGTAAGCGCGCGCGTGTTGCAGCGGCGAGGAGCGACCCCCTCCCGTATCTCGCGCAGCGGCGGCGCTGCTGTCACTTTGGGATTGCCGAAAAAGCGTCGTTTGCTACCTCTGCATGTGAAACATCGAAAATTCATTGCCAAATACATGGCTTTTAGCTAAAGCAGATAGATGAGGCCCGAATTAATTCTACTTAGTGATGAATAAGAACCGTTCCTGTACCTAAGAAATGTATGATTTTTTTGCCGGCAATGACTGAGTGGTGGCCAGGGGGTGGCACACCCGACCTCAGCTGTTTTCTCCCCTCTCCCCCCAAAATCTTTCTGCTATTGTTTACAGAGCAAAAAGTGACCCTCAACCACACTTGTCTGTCTGGCACCCCCCCCCCCCCCCCCCCCCACACGCAGGGGCGCCTGCGCAAGTAGGCGTTTGGTGTGTAGCGGCACCACGGACCCGAGCTAACGGGGGAGTTTTGACGTTTTGACTCCCTCCCACGCCTAGCCGTGCGTGGCTTTGCCGTGTCCGGGGAAAAGGGATCCTGGGAGTTGAGTTGACGCTGGGTGATTGGACCTTTAAGGGCCCCCGGCAGAGGCAACACACCCCTTTGGCCCTGGCTTCACGTAGACGGCAGCCCGGATTGACCCGCCTGGGGAGAATCAGCAGTCGCCTTTTCCTGTCTCCCCCTCACATCTTCGTCTTTTCTCTTACTTTAAATCTTTCCTGTCCTCTACTCTCTTCCGTTGACTTCCGTGTTTCCTGGCGGCAAGGGTTACCCTGCGTGGCGATCCTACCTTGGATACACCATATTCGGTTATGGTGTGGTGTACAGCTGGCGTCTGCAGGGCCTGTGCTTACAGACCCTGCAGCGTCCCCTTGTAGGACTCCATGGTGGGTGGCTGGCGCCTCTGCTGAAAATAAACCTTTCCTTATGGCTAGTTCCTTCCCCCACTCCCTGATCGCCCTCAGAAAAGAGGGCGCCCGATGAAGTCTTCCAGTTTTTTGGTCACCAGAGAGTATCCTTTCCCCGATTCCACGTTATCCACGCTGACACACCCGGCAAACCAGTGAGAACAATTTCACCTCTTCTTGTTTCGAAGTCTTTGACAGAAATCTTTGGCCAGGATATAAAGCATCGAGAATGGCAAGTGGTGACCTCCTGTTGGAGCTCCGTGGCCAGAACAACATGAAATTTGTCTAATCTAGTGAAATTTGGAGATACCAAATTAATAGTAACCCCACACCGAACCATGAACACCACCCGTGGCGTTGTTTCAGATGATGACCTGTTAGGGCTGACGGAGGCTGAACTCCTGGAGGGTTTTAGCGAACAGAATGTCATCAACGTGAAACAAATTAGGATGAGGCATGATGGCAAAGAATCCAGACTAGCACCTGATGCTTACTTTCAATTCAAGTGTACTGCCCGACCGTTGAGGCTGGGTACATCACTTCGAGTGAGGCCATATATACCGAACCCTCTCCAATGTTTCAAATGCCAGCGGTTCAGCCACAGTTCTCAGAACTGCCGATGCCGCCTAACTTGTGCGAAATGCAGTGCTGAAGAATGCACATCTGATACCTGTGAAAACTCTCTTCATTGTGCGAACTATAACGGGGAGCATGCCGCATACTCACGGTCATGCCCATGCTGGAAAAAGAAAAGGAAATTGTCACAATTAAAGTAAAACAAAACATTTCATTTAGGGAGGCACGAAGGCAGGTGTCCTACCTACCAGAAACCAGCTTTGCCGAAGTGGCACGTCAGGGGCAGCGCCACGACGGCCCCCGGTCTGTCTGGCACACGCGTAGTGAGCCAGCGGTGACGCCATCTGCCCCCTCGGCGGTTGCAGCAAGTGCTGCTCCGCCATCTAAAAGACCCACCACCTCCGGCTGGGGGCCGCGAAAGTCTCGTCTTTTGAGGCGAGGCCCTCGTAGTAGAGCGTCGGGAGCCTCTACTACGAATGGGCAGTGTTTTCTTACCATGCTCAAAAAGTGTTGTAGGACCCTTTAACGTCCCACAACCACCATATTATTGAGAGACTCCATAGTGGAGGTTTCCGAAAATTTCAACCACCTGGGGTTCTTTAACATGCACCTAAATCTGAGCACACGGATCTCAAGCATTTTTGCAACCTATAGCAATATACTGCCTCACTGCATCAGTGCAATATACCGCCTCACTGCATCGGCGCTAGAACATCCCGCCGTATTTTTCTCCTGCAAGCGCAGCGGTGGCTTCACTGCACAGCCGTTGAACATAATGGTGGACTTATGCAACTCTGCTCTCATAGGAGCATACAGTAACTCAAGGCCGATTGTTTGGTCGCTTCTTCAACCGTGTTTGTCGCCCTTGCTCGCGAGCTTTTACCCGCGGATAGAACCACGGTGCGCGGGGGTATGCTATAAACCTTTTATTTATACAAGACATTGCGGCAATGGCAAAAGCCCGCCAGGAGCGTTCATAAATTTCTATGCAATAATGAGGCTGTCTCACAAGTTAGCTGAGTGTTTGAAAAGTGCATCATTGAACAATGTATCTTCACAAGTGCTTTGAATAGGGCTACATCTGCTCTGAATGTTCTTACTGCTCTAAACTTACTCGAAAAGGCCCTTTCGGTTGCCCCACACCTGCTCCAAATTGTCTTTCTTGCTGCTCCAAGCCTGCTACAAAAAGCACTTTTGACTGCTCCCAAACCCGTGTACCCTGTTCCACCCCTGCTAGTGAATATGCAGGTGGCAACAATAGGGCAGCACTATGGGGTAACATAAATTTTAAATAATATAGTTGTCGTCAAGATGGCGTCTTTAATATAATAGCCATGACATGTTTTTGACTTCCACTGTTGATCCTGGTACTAGCAGTAGCTAAAGGTCATCACCAAGGCTTCCTAGGGAGACATCAAAAAGTTATTTTTCCAAGAATTATAAAGTGGATATGTCTCGTTCCATTTTGCAATGCATTGCAATTTTGTTTATTGTGACTTAATCTTTTTATTATGATTATTAACTTTTTATTACGAATATTAAGCACTAATAAGCTTTATTACATTTGATATTTTTATTATGAGTATTATTGATAGAATTATACTAAGGAGCTATGCCATGAGGTTAGTACTGGGATGCCTCACTGTAGTCAATATCTTTTTCATACATTTACCTTCATTTCATGCATTTACCTTCATTTCTTTCTGACTAAAGTACTCCTGTTTGTAATACATCATAGTCATTCTCAAGCATTAATCAATGATTGCTGTAAGCTGAACTGCCATTTTCTCTAGTGCCCCCTTCATGAGAGGAGCCACTTTCATTCTTGCAGGGAGTGACACAAGCCTCACCCCAGGAGCAGCACTGCAGCCCTTCAAGCATTTGTGGTTTGCCAAGAGCCTCCTCTCAGCAGATTCTAGCTCAAACCGCTCTTCAAGCCTCTTTGCTCCACCTGCATCAATGGTGACCAAGGGAGGCATCGCAAGGAGAGTAAACCAGGTCAGTCCAATGTACTCTGTGCTCTGTCGTGCCCCACGTCATTAAACTGGGCCTGTTTTGCAGTCATCTAGTGGCTAGTCATGTACAGGAGTGGTCAAAAGTTTCCAAGCTGCTATCCCATTTTTAAAGTTCCCAGCACTGTCTGGGAACTTTCGAACATTTCTGTACATGGCAGTGAAGCTGCTCATCTACAGGTCCTTTTTTATACGTACTATGGTGTGGACGTAGGCTAAACTCTACAAAAACGGTAGTTCATATAAAGGAAACTGCACTAATAATGCATATGTGATTTTGTTGCTTGTTTCTTCCTCTGTTAACGTTTTTCACACAGTTTCCCTCATAAAGGATTACCAACTCGTCTAACAGTCTGTTCTTCTAAAAATGGTAAGCTGTGCAAGTTGCTGAGCATTCATTCTTAGGAAAATTGTAGGGAGATGAAAGCAGTAGACACAGGACAGCCATTATCTGATGCTCTTTTTTTGTGTTCCTGTTGCACTTTTCCCAACAGGGAATAACAGGTAGTACATCGTAAAAGTTAAGCTTTAACAGGTTCATGCCTGAAATTTCCTAATTTACCATGGCTAAGCTTAGCAATGATGCACCATTTGTTTCATGACTAGGCCTTCCTCAGCCAATGGGCTAGTTGCTCAAGTACCGTATTTACTCGATTCTACCGCGCCCTCGATTGTAACGCGCACCCGATTTCCACCGCGAAAAAAAAAAAAAAACGTAAGACATCGATTGCAACGCGCACCCATTTTTCTCGCTGGCCCGCACGATCACACCACTCGAAAAAAGACTCCTTTCGGGAGCGTTTTCCATTTAAATATGAGGTACGGGCGAAGCTTGTGCCCGTCTGACGTGTAACAGAGCATTGCCGTCACTGTAGTTTTACCGTGGACCGATGTCAGCACGCGAACTTGCTTCGCCCCCTTTTTCTCGACGGTTGTGGTGCCAGGCATGTCGAAGTAAAGAGGCGTCTGATCGGCATTCCCGATTTGCCCAAGCAGGTAGCCGTTATTGTGCCGCAAGTTTAGGACGAACCTCTGAAAACTGTGAAGCTTTTCATCGTACTCCGTTCGCCTTCGGAGGGAAAAGCTTTCCTCTTCATAAGTTAGTTAGCCAGCACCTGCTCGCTTTGAACTGGCTCCGCATTAGCCCTTTTTCTAAGGCTAACTGCATAGCCCCGCACTTGGAGCAGTTCTGTCGTCACGGGCCGCTGTGCCGCTCGCTGCTCAAGCACATACTCGCCGAGCAGCTCTTCAATTTGCGGAAATTGACCCTGCTGTGGTCCACTGAAGCCTTTGCGTGAAGCTTTGCTGTCGACAATCTTCTGCTTTTGTTTCCGCCAGTCCCGCACACACGTTTTGGGAACTCCGAACGACCGCGATGCGGCCCGATTTCCGTCCGTTTCTGCACACGCGATGACTTTTTTGTTAAAAGCGGCATCGTGGTGCACTCGAGTTTTTGGAGTCGGACGCCGTTGATGCTAATGCACTACTAGATGACGAACTCCTCAGCACACTACAAAGTGCCGCACATGGGAAACACATAGGCAGAAATGGCCGACGCACCATGCCGACACACATGGGGGCGGCCATTTTGGATTTGCCGACGGCAATAGATTGACCGTAATTTTTTGTTCGTACTTGATTCTAACGCGCATGCGATTTATGAACTCGCTTAACTGGAAAAAAGGTGCACGTTAGATTCGAGTAATTACGGTATGCCAGTACCATTGTTGGCAGTAACACTGCACAAGTAGGTGACAGCATTACTGGTAACACCTTACTTTTTTCAGTAGCTTAGTAACATACTCGTTTATAATTTTGAAATTGTTACGGGCAACATACTTACGTTAACATTTTCAATAGCATCAGATGTCACATTACTCATTACTTTTTATTATAATTATCCAGTAGTTTTACAGAAAGGTGCTTCGTTTCATAGGCACCACTTTCACAGGGCTTGCCCCAACTTTCTTTGTCACAGCAGAAGACTGCTGCTCACCTGCCAGGCATTAACTGCATGATTTAGTGCAGGTTTTTCATATTCATTAAAACATGAGACAAGCTGTCCAATTACAACTTTCAAATGCAGCCACTGCTTCAATTATACAGCCAATTTTTGTTTTTACAAGGATCTCTCTGCAATACTCTAATGCCGGTTATCAATTTTGTTTGAAAAGCGGAACTTGCTTCTTTATATCGACTGCTGGCTGGTATACAATTTTCTGCAAACGAGCCTGATCTTGAAGACCTTTACATAAGCCCTTGCAACTCTTGTGGTAATTTTACTCGTTAAAGTGGGGAAATTGTATATGTGTGCAAATAATTTTTGTCAGAACTAAGCTGCGTAAGCATTTTTTTGTGGCTGTTATTTTTATCCATTGGTCCTGTTACACCATCAGATTTACTGTAAATTTGTTGAAAGTTGCATAACACTTTCCTTACGGATTATGAAATCTCCTTTTGTGTTTAACGCTACACTTAAAACAATAGCTTTATCATGTGTCACCGAGTTTGAAGTCATCACTACAGTTGAACACCGCTACAATGAATGCCGCTTCAATGAAATTTCCGCTACAACAAAAAACTCTCCATTCCTCGTCAACAGTGCATAGGAGTCAATGCATAAATTTCCTCGCCGTAACAGTTTTTTCTGCCGCTCCACTTCAACGAAATTTGATAATGCAATTTCAGGCTCCGATATTTAATTCCATGCAGTAAACACAAGTTTTAGCATTTCGATAAATTTTCAGGACATGAAAATGTGGACGAAGTTTAAAACACACATTGGCGTCACCAGAAACTGCCGCCGTTTGTGGGGATGCTGATACCTCTTGTGAAGTTCTTTGCTCCACGTGGCGCACTTGTCTCGCGCAGAAGCTGTATTTCGGGGTCACAACTATTGAGTGGTAGTGGCGTGTTCGCGAGCATTGATCACACCTATCATCATCATGGTTAGATTGGTTAGATTATCATCATCATGGTTAGACCCCTGGCGGCAAGCGTTGGTGGGGCACGAGAGAATTGAGCGAGCCTCTTCGACTGGTGGCGTTTGGCGCGAACGGTTGTATCTCGCGGTGGGTCCCCGGGGCACGGCACCGGGGCCCGCGTGGGAGTCAAGCGTTGGCGACGCCTGTTGTTGCTCTTGTGTTTCATGTTGTTGAGTTTGTTTAATATTGTGTAACGATGTCTTAGCATGTTGATCACGATTGGTGTTATAATAATTCTGCTGACGATATCATTGCAGAAAAAGTAGTTAATAAATGTGTTGTTAGTTGGTTTGTTCCGACCGTGTCGACTGTGTCCCTCACATGTTTACCAAACACAGGGGGGCTATTATTGCTCGATAGCGCTAGTAATGAGACTGCCCTGGTTTCGCCACTGGTTTCTTCTGAGCCCCAGACGATCCGAAGCTGAAGTTCGTCGCTCAGTTTATGGAATCCGTCCCGCAGCTGCTGGGTGCAAGCATGAACGATACATTTTCAGATGCCAATGCTTTTCGTTCTGTTTGCGCTTGGCAGTGTGGTAACTAATCAGAGCGGCTGTTCGTCTGCACTATCAACAAAATCGGCCATCCGCTAGTGGTGGTTGATAAGAAAGCATAAAAAAAGCAAAAGTCCCCTCTTCACGATAATACGCCTCCATCTCGGCGTTCTTGTATACACTTTGACGACAGACAGCTGCCGGCACTAGCATGTTAGTGCAACTGATGGTTTGTCACGAAAGCCATTATTGCTGTTGTTTCAGAGTGCTTTTCACCATGGCGTCGCTATGCATGAGTGAGAATCGCGTTGTGACGCTGCTGGAAAGGAAAGGAAGAAGCAGATATTTTTTGAATTTTGGGAATAAAAGTTGTTTTGTTTTACTAGCTCAGGTCAGCTATATTTTTTTATTTCACTACAACGAAATTTTCGCTTCAACGAAATCTTTTCTGTGCCCCATCAGTTTCGTTGTAGCGGTGTTCGACTGTATTATCAACTGTACACGCAACTTCGTAGGCCACTAAAATATTGTAGCTACTGTAAAATTACAAGCAAACGCCTCCCCCCACCCCTATTTTGAAGGATAATCTGACCAGATTTGAGAGGAGGGTGCTTTTTTGGTACTGCATCATGTTTCAAATAGTGGCAGGGGACCACTATAAATATAAATGGCCATTCATATGCTATAATGAAATTCTTTATTTATAAATAATTCTATAAACAACATTAGATACGCAGTCAGTGTACTCATTCGTGCGGCTTTTTTTTACACAAGTAATGCTCGTCTTGTAGGGGGAAAAAAAGAGGAAGGGTGCTTGCTCAGCATTTTATTACGGTATAAGGCATATTTGTACAAAGTATTCTTGTTAAATAATTATTTCAAGTAAAATAATTTATTGGGTAGATGCTTTTGTTATATAAGTATTGGCTTTATAACAATGTTACTGTGGGTTACTGCAGCGTAGACTTGATCCGAATTTCTGACCGTGGAGTAACGAAGCAAGTAACCTGTGTCACTTTTTTTTTGTAACAGTAATGATAACGTGTTGCCTTTTTTTTTTCCTTTTCTTTGAGGGTAGCGTAAGGTGCTAACATGTTACTTTGCTAGTGTAACAAGTTACACATTTAGTTACTTCTCTTTGGTAACACCTACTACACTGGCTAACACTCTTTTGCAGAATTTATGCAAAAAGATATGCTGAACTGATGCTATGTGTGTAGTGTTGTTAAGCATTTAGATTTCATCCATGTCATTTGTGCAACAACTAGCTCAACATCAAAATCTGCCTACTTCCATTTGTGTGTGCATGCATGTTCAGTAGAGCTGACGGCAGCAGTATTTGCCCATTATGTACTGTCTGCGACTTATGTTTGTTAACTAATGTAGCTGGCACCAAGAAAGGCGACTGTGGGACAATGTTGTGGGGAAATACTTCATATGAGCACTATGCCAGAGTGCAGCAACATTTTTTTTGTCATATCTCTCTTTTCTCTCTTTTTACTCTTTTTTTTTCTTTTAGTATTGAAATGTGGAAAGCTCCCTCACCATTTCTTGTTGTGACGAGTGACTATCATTTTTTTTTGATAATAATTAATGAACAGCCATGCAGAACTGAACGTGCCTTCTAGTTCTTATTGTTTGCTATTGCTGGTTTGACTGTATTAGTTAAAGTTCAGTATCTAGAGCACCACGGTTGTAGTTCTTGATGTGCACCATCAAGGGAACTTTTGAACTAACAGATAGCACACTGGCCTGCATGTAATGTTTTAGGACTCCCATAAAACTACTGGTAGAAATTTGTGTTCATTGATTTCGATGTTTGTTAAATGTGCCATAGTCTACCGTATGGGCTTGAGTTTATTTGTCAAAGCACCACAGTTTATCAGTGCAACCTCCAGCAATGTTGTGCAGAATGTCAAGTCTTGTTGTAAAGCTGGGCATAATAATAAGTAACAAAATAGTAAGTGCCACTATTTAATGCATCAATTTCACTGCTTTGGCAGTTAACTGCCATGTTATTGCATTTAAAGCTGAATATTATAACCAACTGTGTATCATATGGTATTGCCTCACTAGGAAAGAATTGACACCAAGACAGGAGGCCTTGTTATTCGCATGAAAAAAAAAAAAAGAAAGAGTGAACAGCATAGGGAAATCCACTTTATATGAGCAGCTTGTTCCTTTATTTTTTTGCGTGTTGAAGTCTTAGTGCAAGTATCTGTAGTGGGGGTGCAATTTGTTGAGCACAGATAAAGTCGGGCTTTTTAAAAATACTGTTATGTCTTGTAATGAATTGAAAATGTCATAGATTAAAGGTTCTTGTTTCTCTGATATTTGTATGAAGTATGCGCCTTCGAGGGTTCTGACCTTTACCATGTTTGTGGCTGTTTCTCTTTAGGTTGCCAAGCGGCCCACCCTGTACATGTCCTTTCCTAGTCGGAGCCGGCGTGGAGATGTAGAGTTAAAGTACTTTCCCAGCCTGAAGAACAGCACCGAGCTCGTTACCTCACAGAGGGCAGCCGTGGAGCTGTAAAAGATCGCACAGGCATGGTTCCCGACTGTCAAGGTTAGTTGTACTGTTATATCCATTGCAACATCACTGCTCTACATTGTAAATGCTAAGTGTCGACATAAGCCACAAGCTCTCATTTTTTTCAGTGCAAAACATCACTAAATTTCTGTTGACTCAGCTTCTTTTCTTTGGCATAACATTGGTATCGTGAAGTCTGAGATGTGTTTTCTCGCGTAATTGGCGAATATTTTTTGCTCAGAAAACTGGAGCAAAGTTTGGTGTGTGGTTATTATGCGGGACAAACTTTATGAAAACCTTTTTAGGATGAGCAAGAAACGTGGTAATGTGAAAAAAAAAAGTTGGGTCACTTAGCCTTTCGCAATTGACATACGCGTACACTGTTTGAAGACTATTTTGTTGCAGTTCACTCATCTTCGGTGGTTGATTGCGCTATCTTCTGCAAGCTGTCGCCGCGCCAACCGCACGCACCTTAACTCTTTCGCAACCGTGTAAAAAGGCCCGATTTTCGATATCCTATCTCATCTCATTTTGGGGGGTAATTTTTATTGCATTTTGCATTGTGATATACCAAATTGTACACTTTTAATCAAGCTTTCGAACAAAAATAACTACAGGCTGATAGGTATGAAACTGTTTTTTATTATATTATTTGTTAACAAAGGAAAACACATGAAACCGAACTAAACAAAACATACACATGCAGCTGAACAAAGCTGCAAAATTAAATTCATAATTCTGGAATATACAAAAAGTTACACATGATGTCAGCTCACATGCTGGAGAGTCTCGTTTCTGTATGTAACTAAACTATTTTTCATGGCCCTTCAAGCCAGAGGTGGTGACTGCTGTGCCACTCAGAGAAGAAGTTGCGGGAGGGGGTGAAGCATGGGGGCACTTCGCATGTGCTGCACTTCTTATATGTTTTCTGCTCTACCTTCTTCTTTCTATAGCACAGCTTGTAGTTTTTCAACTTTCCATTTTCTGGGGTTGGTGGCGAATTGGCTCTAGACTTGGATATGGGGCACGGTCTTGATCAATCATTATAATCCAAGATCTGCTGAATGAGCTGCTCTTTAAAAGCAAGCTGGTCGAATCGGGCATTTGGGCCAGCTCTGGGACTCCTGGGTTTTCTTTCCGATGGCCTTGGTAAAGGATGAAACTGTTGACACACGCTATGTCCACACAATGAAAAATGGGGTTTTCCACCAGCGCATGCATTTCCTCAAGACATTGTAGGTTCCAGGACAAACTGATTGGCTGTATGAATGGTACTCATCAAGTTGATGGCGTGTTGGTCTTTCCATTGCATATATAAAATGTTGCCATCACGAAGCCACCGAACGTCTCCACGCTGAGCTCTTCGTTCCCAGGCAACATTCTTCAGCTCAATTGGGAAACATCGGTGATCTTTTCTGCTGGTACCACAGGCAAGGGTTTTGCGCTCCAGCAGATGGTCAAAAGTTTCGCAGAGGTGTAGAAGTTGTCCATGTAAATCCTGTACCGCTGGTCTAGATACTCTGAGCATAGGCTGCTGACCACATCAAAGGCTAGGCCATGTGGTCCTGGTCTTTCACGCTTGCCTGTGTATACAGAGAACTGTAGGGTATACCCTGTTTCGGAGTCAGCTAGCTTCAATATGGCTCCGGGCTGTTGCTTGGGCTCAAACTTCTTAAAGCATGGGCAAAATATCTCCACCATATGTTGCGGCGACACTAAGGAAACAAAATAAATAACTGTCGTCAGTTATAAAGACCGCATACTGCATTTATACATTGTGAGTGCTAAAACAAAACTTATGTGCGCACAGTGGCTGATGTCCCCGCTGCTGTGATGAAATGTCACTGTCTGAACTGAAGTCCAATGATCGAACTCATCACTAGACTCCTCACTGCTGCTGTAGTCAAAGAATCGGACTTTGAAGCGGCCGAAGAGCTCGTTTTGCCTTTTAGCATTGAGGAGCGCGCGATGGCGCCGCATCCATGATTTCCAAACTACGTCGTCACCCTGACTCGAACTTATATTATTCTCAGTGCCTCCTTGCGGTAAAAACAGGAAAACGAAATCGAACACGAAACTATAGTTATTTTTGAACACATCAGAGGGCGCCACACGTCCGCAGCCACTGAAACAAAGTTTTGGCGGTGCATTTAAAAAACGTCGATACCATGGGATCGACGCCCTATGGCGCAGTTGCGAAAGAGTTAAAAGCGTTTCGTGGCTATCTTTTTTCGCAATCGTTTAACCGCAGCAGTGGTGATCTCGAGGGGCACCCAGAAACGTGTGCTACGACACACTTAGCCAACTTCGTGGCAACCTCGCTTGACGACCGCACCGCCACCATTGACATAGTAGCAAGTAACCAACATTGCAGCAGGCTACAACTGCAGCATCATAACAATTCATCGATAACAAGATTAATGACAAATACGGCTTACGCCTTGCTGTCCACATGAGAAGTTACTGTAAAAAAGGTAGCTTATAGCTTGCGTTCCTTAAAGTACGCACGAATAACAAGCACGAGCAAATTGCAATCGAAGGGAGATTCAGGGGTGCTATCTTGTTGTGGAAATATTCGGATCTTTCCTGGGCGACAAGCGATTTTTTTTTCTAGTTTTCCAGAGAAACCAGTGACGAATGGCCCTTCGCGACAGCCGTGGCGACAGCCAATCCTGTTGTCGTCGCTCAAAAATTGCACGCATGTGGTTGAGCCTTAAAGTTTCGCTTTGTACGAAGCGACCATCGGTTGGCGCCGGCAGTTTCGTGACCTTCGCTAGCTGGTGGCTCATCAGCTGTGATGTCTACCACTCACACATTCGTGAACCCTGCTGTGGCACATAGATAATTAAAAAGCACTGTGGATGTGCCACGCGCAGATGAAAGAAAACAATTCGGTGTGAGGCAGGGGGTGGAGGCAGGGAGCGAGGGAGCTGAGGTGGTTGAGGGGGGTCGGAATAATCATAAAAAATAACAGATCCAACGGGCAAGGAGGCGCCATGTGTTGGTTATGGGACTGCCGCGGATGATGTAGGGGGTGCATTTATTACCCGGGAAAAACAATCCAAATTATGACTGAAGTTGGGAGTACGTTTAATATGTGAGTATGTTCATTACGTGAGTAAATACAGTACTCTTAACTAAAGGATCTCAACGCTGGGTTAGTTGGTACATTACTTCGAATAACTAGATGCTGATCTCTACGAGAGGAAATAAAGGCAGAAGAAACAGAAGTGGCCCCTTCTGTTTCTTTGTGTTTTTTTTTCTCTTATGGGGGTTTGGCGTATAGAGTTGATCCTGGTTATATTGAAATCGGATATATTGAATTATTTGCTAAATCGAACAGTTCATAAATCCTTTTGAATTTTCTATGCAAAATTATGGGACCGTTGCACAACATTGAACTCCAACAGAGCGTAACATACTATATCGAATGCTGCACCATGCTGACCCCAGAAAGTGCATTTACCGTATTTACTCATGTAATGAACGCACTCACATAATAACGCACCCCTGACTTCAATTGCCAAAGTTTTCTTTTCTCCGCGTAATAAACACACCCTCTATATTCAACCGCTGCAGTCCTGCGAAGCGACACTTATTTATTATTTATTTAGTTTATTTTTTATTTTTTATTTATTTATTTATTTATTAATACCCTCAGAATAGAAGAAGTCAGAAAGCTTTGGAGAGCATGCAAAGGGGCAAAGCTGCTGGTGAGGATCAGGTAACATCAGATCTGCTGAAAGATGGAGGACAGATTGTGTTAGAAAAACTAGCCACCCTGTTTACGAGGTGTCTCCTGACGGGAAAGTACCAGAGTCTTGGAAGAACGCTAACATCATCTTAATACATAAGAAAGGAGATGACAAGGACTTGAAGAATTACAGGCCGATCAGCTTGCTCTCTGTATTATACAAGCTATTTACAAAGGTAATTGCTAACAGATAAAGAAAACATTAGAATTCAATCAACCAAAGGAACAAGCAGATTTCGAACAGGCTACTCAACAATTGACCACATTCATACTATCAATCAGGTAATAGAAAATGCTCAGAGTATAACCAACCACTATACATAGCCTTCATAGATTACGAGAAGGCGTTTGATTCAGTAGAAATATCAGCCGTCATGCAAACACTGCGGAATCAGAGCGTAGATGATATATATAAACATTCTGGAAGAAATCTACAGGGATCACTGCTACCATAGTGCTTCATAGAGAAAGCAACAGAATACCAATCAAGAAGGGTAAGGCAGGGGACACAATTTCCCCAATGCTGTTTACCGCGTGCTTACAGGAGGTTTTCAGAAGCCTAGAATGGGAACAGTTAGGGATAAGTCAATGGAGAATATCTTAGTAACCTGCGCTTCGCCGATGACATTGCATTGCTGAGTAACTCGGGGACAATTGCAACCATGATTACGGAGTTAGACAAGAGAGCAGAAAAGTGGGTCTTAAAATTAATCTGCAGAAAACGAAAGTAATGTACAACAACCTCGCAAAGAGCAGCGCTTCGAGATAGGTAATAGTGCACTTGAGTTGTAAAAGACTATGTCTACTTAGGGCAGTAATAACCGCAGAGCCGAACCACGAGATTGAAGTAACTAGAATAAATGGGTGGAGCACATTCGGCAAGCACTCTCAAATTATGACAGGTAGATTGCCACTATCCCTCAAGAGGAAGGTATATAACAGCTGATCTTGCCGGTACTTAGCTACGGAGCAGAAACCTGGAGACTTACAAAGAGGTTCAGCTTGAATTGAGGACGACGCAGCGAGCAATGGAAAAAAATGGTAGGTGTAACCTTAAGAACAAGAAGAGAGAGTGGATTAGGGAACAAACGGGGGTTAAGGATATCATAGCTGAAATCAAGAAGAAGAAATGGACATGGTCAGGCATGTAGCGCGTAGACAGGATAACCGCTGGTCATTAAGGGTAACTGACTGGATCCCGAGAAGAAAGCGGGTTAGGGAGAGACAGAAGGTTAGGTGGGCAGATGAGATTAAGAGTTTGCGGGTATAAATTGGAAGCAGCAAGCACAGGACCGGGTTAACTGGCGGAACATGGGAGAGCCTTTGTCCTGCAGTGGACGTAGTCAGGCTGATGATGATGATGATGATGATACCCTCAGGGCCAAATGGCATTACAGAGGGGAGTGGATTACATTGAATAACACATGGTACATGGTGGGGAGGAAAAAATACAGCGTTAGTACGATATGAGCAAAAGTCAGCGTACAAACAAAAATACATTAAATAGGTCCTGCGTATACAATGTTAGCTACGCTATCACGAAAAAGATGGTTGTCGTTAATAGCAACAATTTCAGGGGAAGGTGGTTCCACTCGCGAGAAGAACGAGGCAGGAGCGACTGTGCAGCTGTGTTAGTACGATAGGTGATAATTCCAACCTTGTGACGGTAATTGACACGGTTGGAAAAATACTGGGGTTGCAAAATAAGTTCGTCGCGCAAGATGGGGTGGTGATACAATTTATGAAAAGTTGATAGGCGGGAAACTTTTCTTCGAAGTGACAGAGTAGGCAGGGACAGATTATTTTTCATTGCAGATATACTGGCAGTGCGATTGTAGTTCAATAATATGAAGCGTGTGGAATTATTCTGAACTAGCTCAAGCTGTAATTAAATTAATGTGGCTGGGATCCCAAATCGAAGAAGCATATTCTAGTTTAGGTCGTATTAATGTTTTGTACAGGGCTAATTTCAATGAAGATGGAGCTTTGGAAAAGTTACGGCGTAGGTACCCAAGCGTACGGTTAGCTTTGTTGATTATTTGTTCGACGTGCATTGCCCAAGAGAGATTGGATGTTATGTGACGCCTAAGTACTTGTACGAGTTAGTAGATTCAAGAGGTATGTCGTTTAAGTAGTAAGTAAATTGACTGCAAACACTGCGGGACACGCGCATGACTTTACATTTGTTTATGTTCAATTCCATTAACCATGTACGGCACCAGTTATCAACAGTTTTGCCGTCATGTTAACGCTTATCACGATTTCCATAAGGCGTTTCAAGAGTTGCATTGAATTAATATAGCCTTAATTATGCATATTTCTTATTTCAATTATCAATATATCAGATTAGTTCGTGATCTGCTTCAAGTTCAATATATCCCCAGAATCCACTGTAGTTTATTCAAAGTACTGTAAGTAACATTTTGCCTTGATGGAATACAAATGAAGTGTCTATTATTTTGTCCACTGTGGAGTCCTCACTAATGATAAGTACCCGCTACAAGACCATGTTTTTTGTTCCTGTTATCATGGTGATACTTCGAAAAGTATCAGGCACTCAGGCTCAATATTTTAAAGGCAGAAGGTCGATCCTTGCATGAGTGAAACTTTCTTTTTCTACAATAAAACATCTGCACTTCAGTACAACATTACCTTTCTTTTGAAAGCAAGTAGTGTTTTCATACCTGACACTAATGTGACATGTTATAAGCTGCTAAGCCAAGGCTGTGGTCAGTAATTTTTTTTAATAAACTGGTTGAAAACAAGGGCATTGCATGGCAGTGTGAGTGTACAGTAAACTGCCGATTTTTCGGACCCTCTAGGGAGCGAAAAACTCCGAAAATTCGGGCAGTCCGAAAAAATGACTGCAGGCAAAAAAAGAAAGCATTATTTTACTGAAAATTTTCACTGCACAAAAAAAAAAAAACGCACCATTTTGCTAATGTTTTTCAATGCAAGCAAAAATGCACCATTTCATTGATATTTCTCGGATCAAGAGGGTCAAGGTCAAAGTACCAGACTTCCGGAACTCTGCCAAAGCATTAGTGGGGTGGCTCTGAAAAGAGCCGTTAAAAAAAAATGCATGCAGCCGACAGCGGGTGCCATCAGGGCAGCCGGTGTTAGAGCTGCAGTGGCTTGAAAAACTTGTTGATCCTTGTTTGAACGGCGCTCCGCTTGCATGTGATCACATTCGCCTTGATCAGAGCAAGGGTCATGTTATCACTGTACACCGATGACAGCCTCATCAATGCTCGCATAAATTCGGCGGTCGTAGGTGGCGCAGGCGTTGTTTCTCTTTTTTTTGACATCGGAGTCGTCTGAATCCGCCATAACCTGACTGACTATTTCGTCGTCGGTTAGCTCTGCGCAGAAGTCGAGCTCGTTGTCAGTGTTGACGAACTGCTCAAAAGTTATTTCCGTGGGCATGGAAGCACCAGCAGCGCGGAGGTTGTTGATAGTATCATCCATAAGAGGGCACAAGTCAGTCACGCTGTCTCTTTCTTCAGGCAAGTCTGCTGCCTCTGTAAGTACGAAGCCCGCGTGGCGAAAGCAGTTGCAAAGCGTGTCTTGTTTTCGCTGCCTTCCATGCGTCCGCAAGCGTTCCGACAGCAGACCGAAGGTCAACCTGTAGCCTTTCCCGTTTTCCGAGCACAGCACCATGTGGTTGAGTATACGTGAACGGTACAAAAGTTTCAGATTACAGATAACGTCTTGGTCCATCGGTTGGAGGATCGCAGTCGTGTTGGGCAGTATGAATTCCAGCTGGATAGCCTTCAAGTGATTGATGTGACCATGAGCAGCGCAGTTGTCAACGAAGAGCAGAACACGTCTGTTCTGTTGTTCAAACTTCCTGTCCAACCTGCGGATGTTACTCTCTAACAACTGCTGCGTTACCCATGCCTTTTTGTTGGCTTCATATACACTGGCAGCATTGCCCCTTTAATACGCCTCGGGCTTTTGGACTTCCCGATTACTAACAAAGGAAGTTTCTCGCTGCCAGACATGTTGCTGCCGACAAGAACGGCCAGCCGTTCTTTGCTATGCTTGCCACCATGGCATGCGTCACCAGCAAAAGCGAGTGTTCTTTCCAGCAGCAGCTTGTAAAACAAGCCAGTTTCGTCGCAGTTGAAAATGTTGTCAGCGGAGAACTGCTGCAACAAGACTGGAGTTTTCCACTGCGGTACTGCGCATAACTGCACCGTCGACGGCGCCGCTTTCGCCACACATCTTCTTGAACTTGAGGTCATTCTGATGCTTAAAGTTTCTCAGCCATCTATCACTGAATTTAAAATCTGTGATGTCCATTCGAAGCGCGAGAGTTTCCGCTTTTTGTTTCAAGATGCAGCCCGAGACTGGCAACCGCTTAGCAATCATTGAATTAAGCCACACGACGAGAGTGTTCTCAAGCTTTGGATGAACACCTTGTCTGCATTCATCTTTTGGGCACCAGACGGTTTTTCGGACGCTTCCAAGATCTTGTCTTTGTTCCTCAGGAAATCGGAAACTGTTTGCTTGGAAATATCGAACTCCTTGCTCACATCAGCCTGCGATCGGCCACTCTTCACTAACTTAATAATGGCGGCTTTCTTCTCTATCGTTAACCGACGGTACTGTTTTCTGTGCTTCGATGCCATCGGCGAGGACGTCGAAGGCGGAGTGGGGGCCATCGCAGGCAGGCGAAGTCCTCACGATGTGAGCAAAGGAGTTTGCTGACGAGCGTCGAAGCACCTAGGCTTGGCGTTGCAGAGCACACTTCACACGTTCGCACAACCACCCTAGACTAGCCAAACACCATATGGGCCGCATAAACAAAACGACGCGATGGCAGGCAACGGTGCCTCGGTACTCCGGAGGTGGCGCTGGTAAACATTCAAGATAGGGGGGGCCAGACCAAATCGGTGTGTGATGGTTAGTTCTAGTCGAAGTAGTTCTAGTTCAGTTAGTTCTAGTTCGAAACGCTTCGCGAAAGCGCTGCGGAGAAGTCAGAGTGGCACGCACAAGCGCTAAAGCGAAAGGAACTTTATTGGCGCCAAAAAATTCCGGGTGGATAGTTTCGACTGTCAGCGAAGCACCCTTGCACAGATAAACACGGCCAGTGTTAGGAATCTCGGAGGCCGTGTGTGTTTGTGGCGAAGATACCTTATGCGGATATGCCTCTTGTCTTGAGTTTGCTTTAAGAGGCTAGCTTTGAGTTATCGTCCTTGTTGGTGTATCCGTTGGAGTGTCTGTGATTTTTGGACTCGCTTTTGCTAGCGTTGCTGCTGTTGCATCAGAACGTGCTGAGGTGGGAGCACTTCTGAACATCATGCCGGTTTTCTTGACAACTTGATGTGGTGTCCAGTTGGTAGCTGGTAGTCTGTGGGCTGTTGTCATTCTGTTCGGGCGGTGAAGATAATGCTTCAGAGTTGATAGAAAGCTCTTGAGAGGCTTCTTCTGCACTATTCACTAAGAAGGGCTCCTGCGCTTGGCAGCGTGCATTGTTCGACGTCTGAGCCTTCTGCTTTGCTTCGACTGTCTAGTGGGTGTGCACCAGACGGTGATGCACAAGCCCGTGCGGAAGGAGCATGGCTCAACAGGATATTTTCGTGCTCAGCTCGTCTATCGTGAACACGGCGTCCTTATGAGGCAAACGGTGAGCGTCAGGAGCGCTTGAAAAGCCGTGTGATAGAAAACCAGGTGGTGGACCACGTATGCGAGATGAAGAAAGAAGTGCATCAGGTGTGTAAGGAACGTCCCGTGTCGGTGCTAAAGCGACGAGTTGCAAAATACCTGCTTTCGTGAAGAAAAACGTGGTGGAAGGCTATGTTCCTTGGGAAATGAGCGTAGATTGTGACGGCTGAGTGTGGTTGTTGCAGGTGGTCGGTAATGAGGAAGTCCTTGTCATAGTCTTTAAAACGGGCCAATTATCTCTTGTCTGATTTTTGCCATGATTCATCGTTTTCGAATATGTGTGACAGGTAAAATTCAAATGCTTCACCGGAGATGTAGTGAGTGAAGTTGGCACATCTCCCGTTCCGACCATGATGCAGTGGTAGCGTGGAGCTCGAACAGGTGGAACCAGTCCTGCACGGGTCCATCGTCCGCTGCTTTGGTGTACTTGGGGATGGGAAGGTCAGTCAATGGTTTCGTCATGATGGTTGCAACGGTGTCCAGTGGCGATGCACTTCTATGGTCTGCGTTCGATCACTGCGTCTTGCTGAGGCGTTCGGTGATGATGGCCGATTGATGAAGTGGTTACGAGTTCTTCATCCTGTCACACTCGTGTGACACTATGATGAATGGCAGACGTGGCCTGGCTCATACGCCATGTTTATTCCATCTCACTTCTTTCTCCTCGGCTTCTACCAACCATCGCTACCTTGTTATGTCATATATATACATAAATATATATTATAATGTGGGTCATTCTATATCTAGTGTACCAGGTCAATTTTCAACCATCTCAGATCATGCTAAAAAAATTGTGCAGGTATAAGGTAGCTAGCATGGGGAGATTGTATCTCCCTGCCTTACACCCTTCTTGATTGGTATTCTGTTGCTTTCTTTATGAGCAATATGGTAGCGGTTGATCCCCTGTAGATTTCTTGAGGATGTTTATATATACTTCAATGCCCTGATTCCACAGTGTCTGCATGACTGCTGATATTTCTACCGAGTCAAAGGCCTTCTCGTAATCTATGAAGGCTGTGTATAGTGTTTGGCTATATTCTGAGCATTTCTGTATTACCTGATAGATAGTATGAATCTGGTCAACTGTTAAGAGTAGCCTGTTCGAAATCCTGCTCGAATTTACCTCGTGCTTACAGAAGGTTTTCAGAGGCCTAGAATGGGAACAGTTGGGGATAAGAGTTAATGGAGAGTACCTTAGCAACCTGCACTTTGCTGATGACATTGCATTACTGAGTAACTCAGGATGGATTGCAACTTATGATTACGGAGTTAGACAAGGAGAGCAGAAGGTGGGTCTTAAAATTAATCTGCAGAAAACGAAAGTAATGTACAACAACCTCGGAAGAGAGCAGCGCTTTGAGATAGGTAATAGTGTACTTCAATTGTAAAAGACTATGTCTACTTAGGGCAGGTAATAACCGCGGAGCCGAACCACGAGATTGAAGTAACTAGAAGAATAAGAATGGGGTGGAGCGCATTCGGCAAGCACTCTCAAATTATGACAGGTAGATTGCCACTATCCCTCAAGAGGAAGGTATATACAGCTGTATCTTGCCGGTACTTAGCTACGGAGCAGAAACCTGGAGACTTACAAAGAGGGTCGCGGAGTTCTTGTCTGAAGCCGTGACAATGGAAAAAATGCTACAGCAGCGATCAAACCAATACGACAGGCAAGTCAGTGGCATGTCCACTGCTGACATTTTCGCCGCCGCTGGGACCAGCAATGACTCCTTACGTGAACTCATCCGTAATATCGTACGTGAAGAGTTGCAAAAGGCTGGTGTAACACCTCATCCTACGGTTAGCTCTATTGCAACTGTGATCAAGGATGAGCTGCACCAGGCCCTCCGGGACACTTTGCCTCCTGATACAGCTGCGTCAGCTCCTGCTGAATACCACCGTGGGACAACCTACGCGGAAGCCTTGAAGCGCCCTGCTGCATCGCCGCCATTGTTCGTTCATCCTGTCCCTGCAGTTTCACTCGAGTCAGCGCAGCACATACCATACTACGAAGGCACGTACACGCCACGGCCCCTGCCCTTTGTCCGTGGTGCTTCTGTCGCCCATCGTTCGGTGCAACCGGTCCAGTACATCGACGATCGCCACTCGTCTCCTCGGAAGTCTGATGTCTGGCGCACACCCGATCATCGGCCTCTATGCTTTCACTGCGGAGAAGCTGATCACTTGTACCGCCAGTGCCCTTATCGCCGTCTTGGGCTTCGCGGCTTCTCTGCGTACGCGCCGCCACCCCGTTACGGTCAGAGACCACGCGACATCCAAAACTACCTCTCCCAGCAGCATGCACCACCGTCTGCCGGGCGCTCGCGCTCGCCATCACCGAGGCGATTTTCATCAACGCCCCAGCGGTATTCTACCGCACGATCTCCCAGCCCCCGCCGGGAAAACTAGCCGAAGCGACCTCTGGGGGCGGGGTCGCTGAACGTCGAAGCGCTGAAGACCTCCTATTGACGCAGAACCGTACAGAAACTGGTCCGACATCACCTGCTGCTGCAAAGGATAGCCGGCTTTCACTCGACATAGCAGTAACAATTGATGGTTGTGTAGTTAATGCGTTAGTGGACACCGGCGCAGACTATTCCATACTGAGCGGGAAACTGACAACGCAGCTGAAGAAAGTAATCACGCCGTGGCATAACTCGCAGATTCGGACAGCTGGTGGCCATGTCGTTACTCCACTGGGCGCCTGCACAACTAGAGTACAGATTCAAGGGTACACATTCGTAGCAAGCTGCCTTGTTCTACGTGAATGCTCCCGTGACGTCATTCTGGGAGTTGATTTTCTACAGGAAAATGGAGCTATCATTGATCTGCAAGAGCGCCGCGTCACGTTCT